TTTAAATTAGGTACCCTTTTTTTGTTGTTGTTGTTGTTCCAATATTGTGTGACATGCCTGAATCTTTTCCAACTTCCTTTCAACTTAATACAAGTGAAGGCACTTAGGAGTCTTCATTTTCTCAGTCTCCCACTTCATTTTGGCATGACCTCAGGCCACAGTGGCATCTAGACATATGAGTGATTTTTGTATTTTTCTGCTTTCGACAATTTTCTTCCATATATTGAAAGACCTTAATCCACCAGACTGCATTAATTTCATAGATTTAGTTCATCAAGACACACATAGTTTCCAATCAGAGATTTTGGTCAGCACAAGGTTCAGTTATTACTGCCAATTTTGATACTTGCTGCCCCTAAAGTAAAGAGTAATATGCAACCAGATGGCAGGTAGAGTAGGATGCCAAATTAMGCTCAGCTGAAGCACCAAGACAATTAGGAGCTGCCTTCCAATGGAGGCATTAGACCAAAGGTAGGTAACACCCCCTTCAAAATGGTGTAGACTCCTGAATGYCTGGATTGGTACTGTAGATATAAAAATATTAAAAGAATGGACTTAAGAAGGGRATTTGTGAAGAGGGCTACTGTGAAGAGAGGCTTTCAGAGGAGCACCCCCATTTTCCTTGATGAGTGGGACCCCTTCTCACCCCAAGTCTCAGAAGTGCTTCTTTAAGCCTGCCATGAGGACCTGCTATGTGTCCCCTGCTGTTGAGAGATTTGGCCTGAGAAACTAGAGGAGAGCAGAGGGCATCTGGGAAKGAGCAAGATTTCTGGGGGATATAGACTCTGGCRGGAATGGCRGCCTGGGGTCACTGTAMAGACATTCTAGATCTGGTTCTGGCMCTTGGGGAGTAGCAAGTGGGGGACATACCCTGCTATGGTAAAACACCTGGGAAACTGGGCAGAGGGTGGGAGGCGACGGTTTCAGCCAGTGGGCACAGACAGCACAAGGCTGAGATCCCTGGGAGAAGGACTCCCTCCAGGGGCTCCCCGGCTCTCTGGAAGTGAAACCCTTACAGAGAACTGTGTCTTGCTGAGCAGAGGACTGTGGGTTAGAGTTCAGGCTATTGGACTGGACTTTGAGCAGGCGCTGGAGAGGAGGGAGCTGCACCTGGAGCTCTTGAGGGCTGGACTAAGTGGGTAGGTTTCCTTGAGCCTTTGACCAAATCTTAAATTGCATATCCAGGAGGCTCCACCAGCAGAGAATAGCCACCAGAAGACTGTAGGCAAAAGGAGATTCCAGAAGGTGAAAAGATACTAAAAATGTCGGGATTCTAACCAGCTGGAGGGGACATGAACAAGCATTCAACCGAGACACTCAATAAAGACTTTTAAAAGATCATGTCTAAGGAGTCGAGCTGTTTTRGCCTTAAAATGGAGGTCCAGAACCTTTCAGTGAAGAGCTAGATGGTCAATATGGTTCAGGCCATAAGAMAAAAGTACTTTCATAAACTCTTACCTTGGCCCTCTGCAGCTTTGGATTGGCCGTCCTGGGAGGCGACACACTCTGGGCCCAGTTTTCTCCAGCTGGAGACGTTTTGGGGGTGAAGAATGACCGGCCCAAGCTGGGAGGCTGGGGAGGCTGGCAGGCAGGTGGCAAGCCAGTGCGGGGTGGCCACCCAGCTKTTTTTCAGCCCAGAAACCCACAGATCTTCTCTCTTCTTGAGGCTGTYTCAGGTGAGGCCCTGACTCTACAAAGACTCCACTGCACAGCGAGTTCTTGAGGGAAGCAGGTGCTGGAGAGAGAACTGAGCAGGGGGAACACCGACCGGCTGGGTATCAGTGGCCCTGTCCCTCTCCAGTGGTGCCCACTGGGCATGCAAAACTAGATGATAGGCTACACTCAGCCCCTAGACTACAGGTGCTGACCCCTGCCCTCAACGAAGAGCTAATCTAGTTCCACCTAACAAAGCCTCCAAATCATACTTCAGCAGGATCAGGCTCAGTTGCAGAAAAAAAATTATATATATATTACACACTTGTATTTGAAGAAATAATGACTGGACATTCTACAAATCTGATAGAAATTTTAACCAGTAATCCCCCCMAAAAATTCAATAAAGCTTAAATAGGAGAAAAGAACCCTGTTGAAMAAGGCAAGGGAACTTAATTAGTAGGGTAGAGGGATTTGTCACTTTGGGTGGAGGGGCTGCTGCTAATTAGCAGAAAAGAGGTGTCTCCCAGAGGGAAAAGAGTGGCCTCAGTCCAGAGAACCCACCACAGCTGCTCCTGGCAAGAGTGTGACTCAGCTTGAAAATCAGAACTGTCCCATCGTGTAGCATCTCTCCTGACCCCTCCTTAGGACAATGCATGTTTACATGCAGAGAACCTGGGTTCAACTCCCAGCACCAAAGGGGGAGAGAGGGAGAGAGAAGAGAGAAGAAAGCAGGCGGGTGAGGACTATCCTGAGAGACGTGGAAGGAGAGGAGGTCACCCTGATTCGCAGATCCCAGACTTCTTCTGGCACTTCCCTGCTGGGAGGAGGGATGAGATGCACTATTAAATCAGGTTGGCAGGAGGGTTCCGGGCTTCTCACAGTGCAGTGTGTACACTGTTCACCTGGGGTCTTGTTAAGACGCAGGTCTAGGGTGACAATTCCCTGGGTGAGGTCGATGATGTTGCACCCACTCCTGGAATAGTAAGAGTTTGGACTAATACCTAGGCCTAAATATTTTAAATTAATGATGGGTGGCTGTGACCTGAAGCAACCAGAATTGCTGGAGTTCAAGTTTGACCAGAAAATCATGAGACCCACAGGAGTTCCCTGCTGGCTCCGGGGTGCTCTCCCACAAGGCAGTTTTTATAGGGGTAATGGAAGACAAAAACATGGCTGCTTTTGTKATTAAATTTCATGAGCCTGCTAGGTTTTCATATAATTTACACTGCTAAAGGCACATTTCTGTTAGCTCTTACAAAGAGTGAAAACAGTTTGCATTCATCTCCTCCTCAGCACTGAGGGTCAATTTTATGGGTGGACTTGCCCAGGCCCCAGTTCCCAGGTATGTGTTCAAACTCATCAGGACGTTGGCATGAAGGCATTTTCTAAATGAGATGAACATTGAAAACAGTGCACTTTGAGTAAAGCAGATCACCCTGCCCCCAAGGTATGGAAACCCCATGCAATCAGTTGAAGGCCTTAAAGGAAATGAGATGGAATTTCCCTGAGGAAGAGGAACTTCTGCCTCCTGTCTGGCTTCAGACTCCAGGTACAAGACTGCATGAACCACCTTCCTTAAGTCTCTATGGATATGTATATCAGGGAATTGTGTGTGTGTGTGTGTGTGTGTGTGTGTGTGTGTGTGTGTGCGTGTGTAAAGAGATACTGATGTGGAGATATATACATTGGCAAGAGTTTGTATGGTCCCTATATTAACTCAAAATTCTCCAGAATATATCATATTGGTTGTGTTTTTCTAGGGGATCCTAAATCCAAAGTCTCCTTACAAACTCCTGTCTCAGAAGTCCTCCAGCTCCCTCTCACCTCAGCTCTTAAGTCACAGTCTCTCCAAGTCCTATTCTCATCACTAGCATCCACATCAGTACCTTTGAAGGCCTCTCCATAAATTACCTCAGAAGAATTCTCTATATGAATTTCCCACCCTTTGGTGGACCACACTGAGTCTCTTAACTGTTGGAGGAAACTGAGTATCACATAGCTCTGTCCTCATTACTTGCAGGACAACTGGTTGCATTAGTCATCTTTCTGTTGCTATATCAAAATGCCTTAGAAAACCAACTTAAAGGGAGGAAACATTTATTTTGGCTCATGGTTTCAGATGTTTCAGTCAATGATTGCTTGGCCCTATTGCCTTGGGCCTGTGGGACAGACCATCATGGTGGGGAGGAGCACACAGCTGAGGAAGCTACCTACCTCACAGTGGCCAGGAGGCAGAGAGAGAAGGAGGAAGGAGCTGGAGTCCCAGTACCCCCTTCAAGGTACACCCCACTAACCTAACTTCCTTCCAGCACCAGCAGCCAAGGACCAGACCTGAAACACAGGGGCTTTGGGGACAAGTGAGATCCCAACCCCAGCACTGGTGCAGGTGGTACCTCTGCACTCCTGCCCAGCACGTGCCAGGTACCACCCAGAAGGACTCAGCATTCCCTGGCAGACTTCATCACCGTCTCTTCAAGATGTTTAAGGTGAAAAGCAGTGTCATCTTTTCTACATGGGTCACTAGTGTTTCTTGTCTCCCCCTGTTCCACATTAAACCCTGTGAGTGTATTTCAGCTGTTATCATCTGATCCTTGCTCCATGTTATCTTGGGCACAAAATGTGGAGGCTTTCTCCAAACTTCTCTCAAACTTCCTGATTGGTATCTGTCTTTTGCTCTTCTGAATTCTTACTCATGGGATGACTTTTTCAAAGGAAGAACTATGTCACCCAATTTGGTACCAAACAGTGATTTGGCCAAAAATTCCAATAAAATATTCACTAACTTAGAGTTGGCCTTATTCACAATCTCTCTTTATAAGTTATTTAATTGCTATTTGTAAGTCTTCAAAGAGCTTAAGGCATTTCATGCATTTATTATGGTCAATACAGAATTCTGAACTGAAACTTACAATGTTATCTTTAAACAGCAAGGAAAATTATAACATTTAAAAATCCATCCAAAGTAGAAGCCCTTAAACTATTTTTCTAAAGGCAGAGCAGTCACTTATTCACAATCTTACCAGTAAACACAAGTCAAGAGAATCTAAGCCTTTAACTGTTTTCTCATTGACTGATCATGTCACCTGGGTAGTACTCACACAAGGCTCCAAAGATTCAAAAAACAACAACAACAACAAAAAAGTCAGAAAACTTTTGTGTAAACGTTTTTTCTTCCATGGTGACCACAGCCTTAGTTTYGCCAACTCAGGAATGAGCTAGAAAAGATCCTAGACCTATTTTACAGAACAGCAAACTGAGGCACAGAGGAATGTGAGGTGCAGATGCAGTCACCTGTTTGCCCCGACACCTCCTCTGTGTCCCTGAGCCTCATCCAGCCCCTCTATTTATGGAGAGGCAAGCTTGCCCCCGAAGAGAATCATATTGGTACAAACTTCCTTTATGAAGAACAGGAAGGGACGATTTGCCACAAACTGATCTCGGATGGGGAGTCTTTTCACAGCAATGCTTTCCCCAGAGGCTGCCGCTGCCTCCGTGCCCTCTTCGTTGACATCCACGTAGGACTTGTGGATGACTTTGGATAAGTAGAGGCGTCTGTCTGGTGACATCCCAGAGAGATCAGCTTTGGCCTGGTTGAAGATGTCGGTCATCCCTAGGGACTGGAGCAGGGAGTTCAGCTCATACTTGATTTCGAGCTTGAATCTGGGGATGTGAACTTCCACGTCTCTTTCCATCATGTTAGCAGAGCTGGTCCACTCCTGGAACGTCCTGCCATTCAGCTCCTTTTCTATCTGAGAGAAGAAGCACAGATGAGCCCACCTGAGCCAAACACGCAGGCTTTCCATTAAATACATTTTTTTATATAAATTCTCAATAGGAATGGTTCGATTTCATTGCTTTCTTCTCTACCTGGAGAGCATGCTCATGTGCTGCCTCTCTGGAAACAGTCTTGTGTTTAACCTCACTTCCCTTTGGTCTACCTCGGGTCTGTATTTCATCCTGCAGTTTCCTGTGTGCACTCTCGATCCCCTGGGCATTAGGCTTCACCTAGAGTTCTCTCTGGGTTGTTCCTGAAGTCCCTGTGTGTCTGCTTCCTGGATGAGTTCAACCACTTCTTCTCAGTCTGCATATGGGAAGTAGTTGATCACATCCTTCATTAGGAACTTGGTTTTCATTTGGCTTTTAAGATGCCAAGTCCCTTTGTTCTTGTTCCACTGGGACAGCTTTCATCTCCTCCTGTCCCTCATTTTTTGTTGGGCTGCTCCTGAAACTGAACTCAGGTGCTGACCTGACACCCTTCATGAGACTACCAACCACTTCACCTTCCACATCTGCTCAGGCTTCCAGAAGAAGACTCAGCAACCCTAACTTCTCATTCTCTATCCAGTTTCATCACTTTCTGTGGACCCTTGGAATGTCTCCCTTGGGCACTTGAGACCCTCTAGCCAGCCCTCCTTCAGGGCCGAGCTACCAAAGTGTCACATCCCATTTTCCTAGTCAAGAGTTCAAAGCATTTTCATCACTTCCTGCCCTAATCGTATAAAATCTTTCATAAAGTACAGGTAGTTTTTATCCTGACGTATCCCTTTACTTTTTCTTTTTCTGCCTTAATCCAAGTTACCAGGATCTCATGACAAAAAACCTCACACTTTTTTCTCGGGTGGGGTGGGCAATAGGGGGTACTGGGGATTGAACCCAGAAGCAATTAAACACTAAGCCTCATCCCCAGCCCCTTTTTATATATTTTTATTTTGAGAAAGGGTCTCACAAAGTTACTTAGGGCCTTGTTAAGTTGTGGAGGCTGGCTTTGAACTTGTGATCCTCCTACTTCAGCCTCCTGAGGCACTGGGATTACAGGTGTACAACACCCAGCTTGGCAAACCCTCACTTCTAAGGCATTTGCTCATGTTCTGTGCTCTGCCTGGAGCACGCTGGGTCCCTTTACCTTGCCTGTTCATCTTCTGCTCATCTGGCAAGGCCCACCCTGAGATTATCCTCCAGAAACCTTCTCTGAGCTTCCTATTCTAATTTAGACCYTTTCTACTCCCACAGGACTTTCTGCAGAATCTAAACTGCTTCCAAACTGCTATGTGCCTCCAAATATCTTCCATCCCAGCTGACTTCAGGCCCTGGATTCTGTTTCTTTCTGAATTGGCCACACCTGTAGGTCCACCTGTTCCCAGAGCCACATTTGTGCTTGTCTCACGACTGTCCCCTGTGGACTTGTGCCTGTCTCATGTCTCACTTCTCAAACTGAAAGCGCACACCCCTGCTCATGTGTTTCGGGAACCCTCCCTGCCCTCTGCCCCCACCTAGGCCACTCTGCTTTTACCTCAAGCCCACACTCGCTGACTGACCATGAGCTTCTGCAGGCCCCCAAAGCTTCAACTGTCTTCCTAAGGAACTGTCCCAGTCAGATTGGGGGAGGAGGTGTGGTCACTCCAAGGCCCCCCTGTGCAGGGCACCTGTGGGGACAAGGGTTGGACCCAAACTCCTACCACCACCATGACCTCTTCTTTAAGGCGATAGCACTCATTTCCCCACAAAACAAGGAATGTTAAAAACAGGATCCTATAACTGAATTAGAAATACTGTAGTAATTTCCCCGGTAGTAAGAGAGCTTAATTGGATTTCTGTGGACTGAAAACATCATGTCTCCCAAGTGTCAAAAGATTCATATGTGTGTGTATTTGTACAGTGTGTCACTCTGCCCCATGTACCTTTTTACTTAAGAATAGCTTGTCCTACCCGAGGATTAAGGTCATTGCACCCTTCCTGTCAAAGCTCCTGGGGTGATGGGGCTGAGCCCAGATCATGAATCAGTGACTGGCTGTAAAACATCATGAGATACAGGGTGAGTGCAGGAGGGTGTATGTGGGGGCGCTCTTGCTCTGCTCTTGTGTGTTACCTGTTCTAGGTTAGCTGTACCCACTGGAAGCAGGATGATCATGCTCAGTTTGTTGCCGGCATAGGGCAGCTCAAGGACCTGCATCTGTGGCTTCTTGATGGAGGCCAACTTAAATGTTCCAGTTTGATACATCATTTCCACAATGACACTTTTATCCTATTAAAAGAAAAGACTGTAACTAGAAAGTACAGTTACATATGTAAATAGGTATGTATGTATGCTGCTTTCCTTATGTATCATGAATATATCTACATTAACACTTCAAAGGCAGGATTGGCGTGTAAACACCAGGTATATCCTTTTATTAATTTTATGTGCACAGTTTATTTAATTATTTTTATTTTAAAATAAGTCATAGTTAGAGATGAGTAGTTCTAATGCCCATAGATGACTCGAGTCTACTGAAAATCAACCCAGTTTCTACTAATCTGGGAAAATGAAATCATAATGTCAATTTCTTTTTTAATCCAGTTAGAGGGATTCTCTAGAAGAAAAACAGCACAGGTAATTTTATTGTGCTGTTAGAGAAAGTAATCTCGGTATGTTCAAAGAATGCCCAAATAAAATATTAGGAAATTAATAGGTGTCTTCCATTCCAGGGACTCTTAGTGTCTAAAGGCTTGTTAGGTGCCCCAGAGAAAGGTATTGTCACTTAACAAGGAAAACATAAAAGTTTATAGAAAAAGCAGTGACAGAAACCTAGCCCAGTATGTTCACTAAATCTTTCTCAGTTGTCCTTAAATGATTATCACATTCTCCAAAATTTGCCATCAGTCTGAAAATGAAACACTTACCTCACTTAGCTGAAAGGGGGTTTTAACAGTCTCTCTTTCCTGAAATTTATTTTGCCATTGTCCTTTGAAATATATGGCGCTCACCAGGACCATTACAGAGGAAGGGTCAATTGAGCCCTTTCCAAAGAGGTTTTTAATTTTCCCTTGTATGGAAAGAAAAAAAGATAATTGTATTTGGATTTGAACTTGCTGATAATAAAGTTGAATAGTTACAAGAAATGTGCATCTATTTCTTAAGTTTATTGTACACGTGAGATAGCAGCAGAACTTTTTCATCTGGCCATAGACTCCTGTCAAAGGAAGTTTATTTTAATGAATACTGAAGGTTTTGCTATTTCTAATCAAAAGATAGTGTCCAGGGAGTAGCTAGTACCTCAGTGATGGGTCAATTTTTCCTGCATCTAGTTATACCCAATGCATTATTATATATAGTAATATATACTTACTCAGAAAATTCTTTAATAATGTATTGTGGCTTGTTTTTACTATTTAGCATCCTTTATATTTACCAAAACCTCACTACATGCAAACAGCTAAGTATTTTAAAAGAATCACTCATTCTTACATGTACTAGAATTAGTATATCACAAATATACAACAGCATTTGAAATAAATGCATATTTGAAAATCGAGAACTTATAAAAAGATATGAGGAATTGCTTGTTTTGGAAATATACTGACCAAAATTGAACGTGATGCCATCTTGGGGAATTTTAGTGCATTGCAATCTATGAAACCTTTCTGGAATACAATCTATCATACAGTAGGAAACATAGATATATCTAAGAACCTAAGAATCCAAGTGACAAAGACTTTAATTTGCATTAAACTTCTGGGCCTAACACAATAACTAGCATATGATAAAAATATCTAAACTGAAATGCTCAAAATGTATTTCTGAATAACTGGATAAATAAACATATGAATGCATGATAGCAATAATATTCTAAATAAATCCACATTTAGCTCCCTAATGCATATACCCATGGCAGAGAACCTTATCCACTTCATTCTAAACAAGTTTTAACTGATTTGCATGTGCCAAGCACTGTTCTATACACTAAAACCAAACCAAGGCTATGACACTAAACTAAACAGAAAAATACCCTTACTGTCCTGAAGTTAGCATTTCAATTATAGACTTTTGCTCAGGTTCTTTCTCAATTCAGGGTTCCTGAGCAGCCACTATCAGGAGATCAGAGTGGGTACATGAGATAAAACACATTTTGCACTATGTGCTAAGTAAATTAAAGGATCGAAAAATGTATAAACATTTTCTAACTTAATAAGAAAAACTGGATAGATACATATTTTAATCTGGTCACCTATAACAAAAGGTGAATAAGATCTGTGAGAAGGTATTGTTGAGAGCTCTTCACTATTAAGAGATGAAATGGGATACACATATGTTGGAAAGCATGGCCCTATGCTCAGAGAAGAATTTTATGTTGCTGACATGCTCTCCACAAGTAAATTTAGCTCTTACAGTAATCTGGTGTCATTTGATCCTAATTTTAATTAATCTGGTTTCATTTGATCCTAATTTTAATTTATTATTCAGATTCGATTTCTTCTCACATCACGGATTGCCTAACTTTCAAGACTTCAGGAACTAATAGTATCATGAGTCAATGGCATAACCACACAGAGGGTTATTTCAACAGGTAATTCCACTACACACCTTTAGGGGGATTAAACTGAAGGACAAAAAGAACTGAATTTTTTTTATCTTAGGCCATTGCTTTTTGTTTGTTTTGATTAGTACTGTCATTTGGAAACTGTGTGTATTGTGGAATGAAGAGAGTGTGCAAAAATATTAGTGACTTTATAAAATGGTATTTTTGACATGAGATAAGAGGGGATTTATCTAAAGTAAAAATCCCATGAATCTGAATTATAATAAATAACACATGTAAGAGATGATGTTTCATTTTTATAAAAAAGTAAATACTCCTTAGTTATTTCACTTAGAAAGTCTGACCAAATCATTAGCAATGAACACTCATACCCAGATTATAGTATCTAAATATAACTTCTTATTAAAAGAATAACACTTCAAATAATAATTGACCTGAGCTAAAGTTCAACAAACTTCTCAAATATTTAGAAGCAATTTATCAAAGGAGGCACAAGATTGCAAGATAGAGAAATGCAAAATGTTACTGAAAGAAATTAAAAAGAACTTAGATAAGCTAAGTGTCATGGTCATAGGTTGGAGGCTGAAAAAAGATATCTTTTCTCCCCAACTCTATAGATTCAAAGTGATTTCTATTAAAATTCCAAGTGGTATAGCGGATAAAAGATGACAAGCTAATTTTAAAATGCAAATGGAAATGCAAAGGATAGAGTTTAGCAGAGGCAACCCTAGAAGAGGACCTGCAGGGCCGGAGAACTTCCCCATCCAGCCCTGAGGACTCATTACAGAGCTGCCACAATCATGGCATGATGATGAGAATAAGCACATGAACAAATGGAACAGAATGGAGACCAGGAGCAAACTCACATGGGCCTCTAATTTGTGATGAAGCTTACATTGTAGTGTAATCAGGAAAGAATTTTCTTCTTAACAAATAATGCTATGCTAATTAGATGTCCATGTAGAGGGCAATGATTTTTTAAATGAACCTTAAATCTAGTTAAACTACCATAAAGCATCTGGAAGTTGTAATATGAAAATATTTTCATGAAATAGGAGTAAGCAAAGATTTCTTTAACAGAACCCAAGGGCACCAATTGTAAAGGAAAAGATTGATACATTTTATTCCTTTGAAATTAGGAATTCCATTCATCTAAAGCATCATTAGGAAAGACAGGTACAAAATGCTGGAAGTCATTCACAACATATGTATTCTGTATGTGTAAGGAACTATTAAAATTTTATAAGAAAAAAAAGTAGACAAATCATCTTTACATAATATAGTAGCACTTCACAAAAAAAGTGTTTGACCATATAATTCATAAGAGAAATACAAATTAATATAAAAATAAATAGAGTGGCTAAAATTAATATGACTAATAATGCTAAGTTTGGGCATGGACCAGTAACAAATAAAATTCCCATTTATTGCTTACGCAAGTAAATTGATGCAACTAATTAATAAAAATGCTTGGCACTAAAAATCAAGTGTGTGCTTACCTCACAAACAGCAATTTCATTTCAAGGTGTGTACCCAACCACAACTGCATACGTACGCATACAAAAAGATATATACCAAAATTCATTTAGTGGTGCTACTTATAATTGCTAATATAATTATAATTGCTCAAACTAAAAATATCCCAAATGTTCATTAACAGTAGGATGAATAAATATACTTGGGATATTCAGAGGATGAAATACACATTGATGAATATTAATAAGGCATGCAGCATAGAACCACAAGCTAAATATTGACTAAAACAGCTAAACACATATTTGTGGTCCCAACTGCATGAACTGTAAAAACAGGCAGAACTTCTGTGTAATAGAAATGGGAAAAGTCAACACCAGGAGGAAGTGGAGTTAGCTTTTGGGAGGGGACCTGCAGTGTTCTTGGTGGTGCCCTTCATAGTAGCTAATGTTTTATTTTCCTGACCTGGTGTGGCAATGGGTGTGTTCACTTGTGAGAATTTATCAAACAGCATACATACAGTAGTTTACTTCTCTATAACTGTGTGGGAGAATTTTTGTTGTTTGGTTTTTGATTTTTTTGGTACTGGAGATTTAACCCACTGAGCTATATTTCCAACCCATTGCATTTTTTTATTTTCAGACAGTGTCTCAGTAAGTTGCTGATGCCTCACTGAGTTGCCAAGGGCCTCATTAAGTTGCTAAGGCTGGTCTCAAACTCGAGATCCTCTTTTCTCAGCCTTTATCAAGTATGTATATTTTTTTAAAAATCAGTATTTAGGGGACATAATGACCAACTGCAATGTGTAAATGTTGCTTGGATCCTGATTCAGACAAAAAAAAAAGCAACTGGGGAAATATGAAAACTCACCAAATATCTATTAATATTAAATGATTATTTTCAGTTTTGCAGATTTGATAATAGTGTTGTAGTCATATTAAAGTCTACATTTTTTAGAGAAAAAAGTAATATAAGTATAGAAAAAATATTGACTTCTGGGATTTACTCCAAAATCATATGAAAGAAGTGGAGGGAACAGGATGCCAGTACAGAGCAGCAAGGCTGCTCACTGGTGATCAGCGGTCAGTTGAGGGATGGTGAGCAAGGGTGCGTTATATATTCTCACTACCTTTGTGTATCCTTAAGTCTTTCCTTAGCTAATATTTAGTTAGTTAATTTATTTAATTATTTTAGTTAATAAAAAATAGTATTTAATTAAATAATTATTATTATTTAGTTAATAATATTTAATTATTTAGATATTAATCAATCTCTGGTATAAGCCAGGTGTGATGGCACAGGCCTGTAATCTCAGCTACCCAGAAGGCTGGTTTCAATATTTAAATATTTTAAATAGAAGAAATGAACAAATCTTTGCATCAAATATGTAATGTGCCACTTTAAATTTAAAGTAATATTTAACAATAGGTAGGGGTTTTTAAATTGCAAAAGGGAGATTTGATTTTAAATAAATATTTAAATATTGATTTTAAATAAATATTTAAATATTGATTTTAAATAAATAAACTGAAGAATTTAAAACATTTCTCTAAAGTGGAGATGACATTCACTCTCATTCTCAGAGCCATGGGGCAGATGATTATCAGGAGTCCTTTGAACATGGCCCTGGTGCTTCATTGCTGATCTGTCTCTCCAGTCCTGGGCCCTACTCAGCCTCTCTGTTAGCACGTTGACCCAGGAAGTTTATCAACACAGCACAGATAAAGTCTGTGGACACATAAGTGACTCATCCTTACCATTAGTTTTATTTTCAACCCAAGCATTAATGGTGTTTCTCACTTCTTCTGTGGACTGTTCAAAATCAACAGTCTGTAGGCCGGCTTGGTACAGCTTCTCAGAACAGCTTAAATATTGCTAAAAAAGAAAGTACAGCCGAATGACAGGAAAAAAGGACAAAGAAAACAAACACATTCAAAAGTCCCAACAGAGATGAAGGCAGTTCGTGGATACGAGTTTGATAGAAAGCAAAATCCACATGTGCTTCTTTTTATTTTATTATTTACTTATTTTGGGTGGTACTGGGGATTGAAACTCAGGGGCACTCTTCTACTAAGTTATAACCTCGACCCTTATTTATTTACTTACTTATTTTTTGTTTTGAAACAGGATCTCACTAAGTTGCCCAGGCTGGCCCCAAACTTTCAATCCTCCTGCCTCAGGCTTCCAGATAGCTGAGAGTACAGGCCTGTGCCACTACACCTGGCTGGTACTTATTTTTGAAAATATTTTTTTAAGTTGTAGTTGGATACAATATCTATATTTTATTTATATATTTTTATGTGGTGCTAAAGATCAAAACCAGAGCCTCACACATGCTAGGAGAGTGCTCTATCACTAAGCCACAACCCCAGTCCTGGTACTTACTTTTAATAAAACAAATACACTTTAAAAAAATCCAAAACCTTTCCCCCCAGATATGTTCAGAAATGTTTTATTGTTGCTTCTGTCATATCATCAACTTTCTTGGTTTGAAAACACTCAAAACAAAAATGACATTGCATCTCACACCATCCCTCCACTTATTGCTTCAAAGTGAAGAAACAGTAGTGATTATGTGATTGCTGTCATATTATAGATGAGAAAATCAATAACCAGAGTGGTCACATGACTTCCTTGTCTGAGGTTTACCAGAAGGCTTCCCACAGGGTGCATGCATGCATGTGTACATGCATGTGTGTGTATGAATTTCTTCACAAATCATCCTATATAAAATTAATAATATCTAAAGTAGACAATTGACATTTTAAAAACTTATGTAAAATGTCATGAACAATATCTAAAGGCATTCACTATTTTGTTCACCTGTAACATACTGTCCAAGGATACAGCCTCTGCATAGACACTAGCCTTCCCTTAACTGACTCCCCCACTCCAAAACCCGCTCTATGCTGGCATTCTGGAGCCATGCTGGTTTGTGCTTCATCTCTTACCTTGGTTCTTGGACAGCTTTAGAGATTTTTCTGTGGTAAAGAATTTTTATTTGATGTTTCACAACTCTAATGAGAGTTTGGATAAAATCGTGTCTCTGTAACCCTAGGTCAGCTCAAATTCAATCTCTTAAAATTAAATGCCACATGCCTTTTTTAAAAATAATCCCTTATAGATTTCATTGTATGAAATTCAGAAGGTGCCAGATGGGCTCACCTTATGGAATTCCATTGCCTTTGTCCCATAGAGTCGGTTGGCTATGCTGAGGGTGTAGTTAGTGCCCGACTGGTTGATTTGAGAGAGGAGCTGTCCAAACTCGGAATGCAGCCTTCCCGCTTGACTGCACTGATAGAAATAAACAGAGTGATTTCTCAAGTGGCTGGATTTCTTTCCATTGGAGTGTCATAAATAACATGGAAACAGTACCTGGAGAGCAAGGTGTCTGCCTCTGATGAACAGGGCAAGGAATACAAGGTTTAAAGTGTTTTTTTGTTTTGTTTTGTTTTAAGTCTCCTTTAGCACCATAGTCTCACCAAGTTGTGACTTTGTTTGCAGACTGTGTGGAGAATTGTATGCACTAGGCTCTAATGGTTTAATTCAAAAGTTGGAGTTTCCATGAATAAAGAGATCTTAGTGATATGTTCACAGACATAATCCAAGTTTTGTGACTGCCCTTAAACTTATAGACTCAATTTTTTTCTCTGCCACACTCTTTTTGTGGTCTCAGTTTTCTATGTGCTTCTTAATGAAACACTTTGGTCCTTTACTGGACAGTTCCAGCACCCTCATTTGCCCCTCAGTGGTGGAATTCTGATAAGCTTACAGCTYTGATGATTTGAAAGGTGGCTAAGAACTCACTGACCTGCAGGGTTGAGGCCTATATTCCCTGAAGCAATGAGTCCCAAGCCATGGCTTTGGTCTCCTAATAATAAGTTGGGTAATCTGAAGCAAGTTTTCAGTGAATCTATGTGCATTTATGTATATTCTCAAACAGTACCAAATAACTACTTTCATGTGGGACTCCTATATAATTTTGATGTCAAAACGGATGCTCCTATTAGAAAGAACTAAGGACCATTGTCCCAAAGCATGTGGGTGGGACAACCTCAGGCCCCGTCTGTAGTTACATGGCAAAGCGTCAGAGTCCTTTCTCAATTTCCTCAGTAGCAGAAAAATTCTAACCCTGCATAGATAAGGCTGGCAGACTCAACAAGAAGCACAGAACAGAAGTGTGTGAGAATGAAGGCAATCGTCAAATCTGGGGGCTTTGACTAATATTACTAATATCATTAGTAATAACAGTGTTATTACTAATAACAGTAATGTCATCACTGTCATTATCGTTGTGTTAAATAGGCTGCAGAGGTTATCAGAAACTGTGAAGAAGGGACCAAGGAGACAGTGCTGCTCTCCAGCCCTAGACTAGCCTCTCTGGGGCTCTGATGTGAAGGTGCAGTTGACAGCTCAGCAATGACGTCATCATACCTCAGCTGAGTCCCTGAACTCTGATTTCAAGAATTCTGCAATATGATTGTAGTGAAGCACCTGGAAAAGGAAAAAGGGATCAATCAGTATCAAAAGTAAAAGAGTCCACAAAAGTTGAGAGCTGTATTTGTTCCTTCACTTCAGAGCAAGACTGATAGTGACAGCCAGATTTTAAGGATGCCATGTCTCATCTGAAGTCCTGGGTCGTCTCTACATATGTTATTTAACCCTCCCAACAACTTTATGAGTAGATTCTACTGTCCCCATTTTATACTAGGGAAACTGAGGCCAAAAGGTCAAGGCATTGCTCCAGACCACTGTCCACGAGGCTCCAGGGACTGAGCTCTTAGGCACTCTTCTTGTCTTCCCTCTCCTATTCTTCTTGGCTCATTTAATTAGGATGGTGCCCATCTGGGGCAAGGCAAAGCATTGCATTTTCCCAGCACAGACAATAGTAAGATAAGAGGACAACAGTAAGACAGGCAAGTGTCTTAAGAGTTATTAAGTGATATTCTTCTCTAGGTGCTTTACAGAAATGATATATATATATATGGAAATCACCATTATTAGCCTATGAAACCTAAAAAGTCACCTTTCCCTCCAAGTCTGTTTCCCTGTCTATAAAATGGGGATAACACTGCCCAACTGCTACATGGAGTTGTGATGAAGAAATGTAGTAACGAATATTTTTTAAAACTTACTAATTTCTAAAATGCAGTAAGTTTCACCAAATTGTTTAAAATTCTATAAGAAAAGTATGTTTTCCTCCATAAGAAAAGTACATATGTTCTCTATCACACTTAAATCACTGAAAGTAGGAATTCCTAGAGTAAACCACAAGTAAACCACTTGTGTTGGGATATGAGGTTTCCCCCAAAAGCTCACGGGTTAAGCCAGGCAGGAATATTCAGAGGCAAAATGAGAGTGTAACCTAATCAGTGGATTAATCCATTTGGTGGATTAATAATTAGAAGGGACTGCTGACCTGGGTGGTAACTGTAGGCAGGTAGGGTGTGACAAGAGGAAGCAGGTCACTGGGGGCGTGCCTTTGGGGTTTCTATTTTGTCCTGGTGCCTCCTTCTCTCTCTGCTTCCTGGCTGCCCTGAGCTGAGCCACTTCCCTGTGCTGAGCTCTTCTGCAGTGATCTTCTACCCCACCTCAGGCCCAGAGCTGGAGTCAGCTGATTATGGACTGAAACTCTGAGACCACAAGCCCACAATAAACGTGTCCTCCTCTAAGCTGTTCTTGTAAGGTATTTTGGTCATGGTGACACAAAGCTGACTAAACACACACCTGACAATAAGGAAGAAACCATCTGATGCATGGATCACACTGTTTGCATGACAGTGTATCCTGTTACATAAGCCATTTTCCCTTTTTAAGAACATGATCTGCCCAAGTGTGTTTTGGCAGTTCTCTCTGCATAAAGATAGAAGTCATATGGTGGAGCAGAGGGGACAGGGAGGGAGAGGACACGTGGACAGTGCCAGGCTCAGGGGAAACTGCCCACGCATTCCTTACCTTTTCTATTTGGTCTGCGCTGTTCCCTCTGGCACCAAGGAGGAGCATGCTTAGCGCAGAGAGCAGACTCAGTGGAGAAAAGAAGACATTGTCTCCTACGTTGTTACTGCTCAGGTCCTTGAACACATCAAGACAAAATTCAACGTTTGCTGTGCTGAGGGAGCCCATTCTGACACCAAGCTCTGCCTGAGAACAGGAAGGAGAAAACAATCTCAGAACATCACTTGATGATACCCGGAGTTCAGGTTATACATGTCATGAATGTAGGCGTCTGATCTCACGGCTTCAGGAAAATGTATACATCCTGTCCCAGCCTCTGAAAAACTAGCAAATGCTAGAAGGAGGAATTCACTTTGTTTTAGATTCCAATGACTAGATCTACTATCCTCCAGCCAACGGTTCAACACTATCTCACCATCTCTTGTGAACACGGAAGAATGAACTGTAGGGCAATCCCTCCATGGCCCCCACTTGTCCCTGCAAGAGTTCTGTCTCTATTCTTCACACTTGAATAAGTCTTTTCACTCTTACCAAAAAAAAAAAAAAAAAAATGATCTATGATTGTTGTGGAGCAAAAGAGCATGGGGGATTGGATTCCTTTGTGCTTGATTTCCACGCTTTAGGAAACACCTCAGCCTGGAATTCGTGCAGAAAAATTCTTTAACTAAACAAACTCAGCCAAACAAGATATTGTCCCACTAGACTGACAATTTTGCAGCCTCATAGGAGGGGAATGCCTCCGTCTCAGTCATGCTTGCACAAATAATCTGATAATAATGTAGTGTTAGGCAAAATTCTCTGCACGTATTTTCACTGGTCCATTATAGTTGCACATAATAGTGGGATTCGTTGTGAGATAGTCGTACGTTTTTATTGCCCTGATGGACCGACCTCACTCCCTGTACTTCTCCAGGAAAGTGCCACAACACTGTAAAGTGGGCCACACCATAGGAAGGTGATCAGAGCCCCAATCCTGGGCTCACGACCATGTTAGTGGCAATTGGGGAATGAAGAGGAATGCTGAGATAGAAAAGATGACCTGGTGGTAAATGTGTTACCTTAGGAACCGAGCATGCTGGGAAGGAAGAGTTTATTCTATTCACTACACCAAGACTAATGGAGCTAATTGTAGGGAGTTACAGAAATAACAGTGATCAAGAATCATTTCTGGGAGCTGGGGATGTGGCTCAAGCGGTAGCGCCCTTGCCTTGCATGCATGCGGCCGGGGTTTGATCCTCAGCACCACACACAAACAAAGGTGTTGTGTAGGCCGATAACTAAAAAAAAAATAAATATTAAAATTCTCTCTCTCTCTCTCAAAAAAAAAAAAATGAATCATTTCTGTCCCCAAAAGTCTTGTTGTTCAGGAGCCTGGTGCTTCCTGGCCCTGACTTTCAGCTGACCCTCTCTCCTGGTTCCACCCYGCATCCTCTGTCTTCTGTAGGACCTCCTTCCACGTTCAGCCTCCATGCATGATGGATCAGGCTTCAGATCTTGGGCCTCTCCTGCATTCACGCTCAGATCCAAGTTGACCTCATCCAGCCCCTGGGCCTTGCATGAGGTTGATATGCTCTGAGCCCCTGCATTTATGCTGCCCCTGAATTCCAGACCATCCAGCCAGCCACACACTCAAACTCCGCTCTGTGGCTAATAGGTCTCTCAAACCTAAGGTGCAGAAATGAACACCCCCTCCCCGGCCTCTCCTCTGGTAAATAGCACCTTCACTTCTCTACTTGTTCAGGCTAAAAAGCTTGGGATCACCTGTTGAGAACCACAGCCGAAGGGGCCCCAGCAAACTTCCAGCTGATTGGCTCACCGTGGCCCCAGCAAACTTCCAGCTGCCAGCTGATTGGCTCCTCTGCAGTGATGCTCATTGGGCTGTTTCCCCGCCCATTCAGATCACAGAGCTGCTCATTGGGGGACTCTTTTGGCTCCGCCCATGCGGCCGAGCCAATGGCCTCAAGAGCAGGAGGAGTGGGGCTTGAGAGGCTCCCCAGAAGCCCGTGATGGCAGTTGGGCTCTGAGGGAATTCCTGAAGAGCTCATGTGGTACAACATGTTCTAAAAATAAAGTTCGTTTGTGCTTGACAAGTGGCTTCTGAATTGTGCCCAGCCAGACTATGGCATTATTTTTAGAACACACGCTATACCACAGGAGCTCTTCAGGAATTCCCTCAGAGCCAAACTGCCACCTCGGACTTCGGAAGAGCCTCTCAACCCCCACTCCTCCCACTCTTGAGGCCGATTGGCTGGGCTGCGTGGGCGGAGCCAAAAGAATCCCCCAATGAGCAGCTCGTGGTCTGAAAGGGCAGGGAAACAGCCCAATGAGCATCACCGCAGAGGAGCCAATCAGCTGGCAGCTGGAAGTTTGCTGGGGCCACGGTGAGCCAATCAGCTGGAAGTTTGCKGGASGGCTGTGAGCCAATCAGCTGGAAGTTTGCTGGGGCCCCTTCGGCTGTGGCTCTCAACAATCACCCTTAAATGTTTTCTCATTCACAGTCCATCTATGAAAATATCCTGTTTCTTCAGCTTCAAAAATACCCACCCTCTGCCCACTTCTCACACTCTTCAGTTACCACCCTGGTCAAAGGTACCTTCCACTCTCTCCTGGAGTACTGAAATAGTCACCCAGCTGCCTGTCACTCTTTACCCTCTCCATGGTATGTTCTACAGAAACTAGARTGATATTTTTTAAAGATGCTCTCCCCTACTCAAAAGCCCTGTGTTTTCCCTCCTCTCAGGGAAGAAACCAAAATCATGACCATGGTAAGCAAGGCTCTCCAGGCTGGCCCCAGCTCCCTCCCAGACCTCATCCCCTACCACTCTCCCACCTGTTCACCCTGCATGAGCCATGTCACCTCCTTCCATTCCTTCTGGGTGACATGTTCTCATTAATAAGAATCCCTGATCACTCATTCAGTTTGAGAAGGCAGCCACCATCTCTCCACCAGAGCCCCAATGTTCATTTTCTTCTGGCACATGTCACATGTCACTGGACTGACTGACTATGTATGTATTTATTGTTGGACCCACTTCCTCCAGGGTGTCACCTTTATTAGAGCAAGGGCTAGGTTTTGCCCTTATGCTTTTTTTTTTTCTTTTGTAGTTGTAAATGGACAGAATGCCTTTATTYGTTTACTTTTAAGCGGTGCTGAGGATGGAGCCCAGTGCCTCACACATGCTAGGCAAGCACYCTGCCCCTGAGCCACAGCCCCAGCCCTGCCCTTATGCTTTCTTCCAGCACCTGGACCAACGCTGGCCACAGAGCAGCCACAGGATAAGCACTTGTGAAAGAAGCACAGGAGGGGATTTCAGTCGGTCAATGTGATGCTACGCAGTGATGCTGAGGGAGCAAGAGGCAGGGGCACAGAGCCACCTGAGAGGTAGGACAGGCCTGGAGCGGGCGAGGTGCCCGCTGCCTCTTGAAGAATGAAATCAGACTCACCCAGGTGAGTGCATGTCAGAAAAGAGCTCCCCACAGAAGGAACGGCGTGAACAGAGACTCAGACACCCAAGAAAATGCTATGTTACAAAAACATGAAATGGGCAGTCAAAACGGTGGCGGGAGGCAGGAAGGACGAGTCCTTGGGCGCTCAGCAAGCCCCATTTAGGAGAGACCAGACAACTCATGGTGTGGCGGGCCCCCATGCAGCTAGGCAGAAGTTCAGACCAGAAATTCAGTCCAGGATGCTCCCTCCCCTCCCCTTCCTCTCGGACCTTCTGAATGACTTCCTGGGGTTCTCTTCTCAGTGGTCTCCCCACCTCCCACCCTCAGATTGCTCCTCAGGCCACCAGTGGAATTCTCTCCCATGCTCCCTTCCTTGGATGGGTATCTCTTCTTTCTAAATACCTTAAATTCTTCCCTAGACAGCTTTAAAAAAATATGGATTGCTCACTCTTCAGCCCTCCCCTCCCACTTTCCTTCTGTGCTGAGAACCTGCTTTCCTTCAGATTCTGTAAGGTCACACCTGCAGAGAAGGCTCCACCCTCCTCGGCCCCCAGGAGCAAGCCTTGGTTGGCCTAACCCRACTGAGACATCTGTCTCTCAGGTCAGTGACTGGTTTAGGACTCAGAAAGGCTGTAATTTTTTGCCAATAAAAACTATTGCAACAGTTGCTGGAGGGTTTCTGGGAAAGCCTTCTCTTCGATAAGAGGAGACCCACAGGAGGACACSAGCTTTTGCCCTCTTCTCAGAGTCATGTCATGTACATGCAACTACTATTGTAGCAGCTGTTTTGCTACCATGAGATAGCCAACCAAGAGGATGCCCAGCATCTCAGAGAGAAAAGRTGGAAAAACCTTGAGTCCTCAATGACACATCATCCAGGATGATGAGCAACCTGGGCCCTGCCCAAACATGGGACTTYTTGTCACGTCACATGAAAGCTTTTMCTTGTTTTTAAATAAACCATTTTAGTTGGGTGTCTTGGCACTGGCAGCTGAAGCATCCCAACTCACCTTAGGAATTTTTTTAGGCGCCTTTCACTAAGGCCAATGAGCCCTCCCCCACATTCATGCTTTCCTGGTCAGCAACATATTTTCTTAGTCTCCCAGGAACCTGAAAATATCTCACTCTTTTACCTTTGACCTTCTAGGTTWCAGCTTTGCCCTCTTTTATAGAACCTGAGTCTAGGCCTACATTCCCTTKGACATTATGACAAATGACCCGTGTTGGTCCCCACCTGTGCATGTCTATTCTAGGTACTAACTTGTCTTGGGTCAGTGCAAATCTGAGCTGAGCTCACAGGAGGTGTGTTCTCTGGAATGTGAACTTGTCACTGATTCAGGTATTTGTGGCATGCTTCTTACCAAAACAGTGCTGCAGTGCCCTGATTGTCAAACACAGCTAACAGAGCCCAGCCTTCAGACCCGGGGAGGGAGAAGAGAGCAGGGGCATCCAGTGTCAGACAGAGTGAGCCCCCAAAACAGTGTGTCACTTTTAGACTTCCAAAATAACGACCCATGGCATGTGTAAGGTAGAAATGATGCTCTCACATCCCTGTAATCAAAACCGGTTGCCCTAAAATTATCATTAAGGAGCGGATATTGCACATTCCAGTTGTCAGACTACCAAGCAGAGTATAATAGGGCCCAGCGGTTATTCTACTCCAAACCTGGATTATACTTTTCTTTGCTCTTGATGTTTTGGGTTTTTGTTTTTGTTTTGTT